GGCGTAGCCCTTGAGTGGCGTCGCCATCGTCGCGCCCTCATCGTCACGCGAGCAGGATCGACTCAAGGGCAGCAACAAACCGCCACGTGTCTCCGTGTTCTGAAGTGTCTGAGCCCGCTTCCCCTCCACCACCCACCCCTCCCATCCACTACAAAAGCCCGTCTATCACGTCATCCCTCGCTACGCCGTCCCCTCCTCCTTCACTTCGCCTCTTCCCTATCTCCCCCTCCTCCGTCTCTTCCTTCCTCCATCATGCCCCACTGTTCCCGTATTTTTGCCGAAGGAGGGAGTGCGGCGGGAAGGCGCCGACATTCTAGAGGCCGATACAATCGTGCGCAACATAATTGCATCATCGTCGCTGGACGGGCTGCTGGGGACTCGACACGCATTCATAAGCAAGAACCGATGTAAATCCGCCGACCCTGTCGGCGTGTGTGAGGGGCTGTGCCGTTCGTCGTCGTCGTCGTCGTCGTTGCAGTGCTCTAGCGGGCTTGAAGGAAATCGACTCATGTCGTAACCATGTCAAAGGGAAGCCCCTTCCCTTTGTTCCTTCCCCGGCGGGGGGGATGTCCCGGGGGGGTCCCGGAGGGGTTCCCGGGGGGGGTCCTGGGGGGGGTCGCCACCCAGATACGCTTTCACTCCCCGCGCGCTCCCCGCGCGTCTGGCAAGGTCCCCGCGCGGTTCCGAAACCCGCGCGGCTCCTGAAGCTGACAGACATCCCCAAGGTGATGCCACGAGCCTTTCAAAATACCCCCAGCCGTCCAAGACTCTCCCACATGATGCCAAAAACAAGCCCTCGACGACAGGACTCTCCCGAGCCGTCCACGGATGACCCAAAGAAACTCAAGAAAACGGGCCGAAACCTAAGGCAATCCAATGTTTTTGGCTTTCTCGCCTTTTCGCTTCCGAAGGGCTGCGAGGGCTGCGAAAGGCGGCGAGGCGGGGCTCCGCCGCCGCCCACCGACGGGCAGTCAGGGCGCTCGGGAAGCCCAGACCTACTGCGTCTTAAGAAGATCGGTTCAGTTCTTCACCACGGGCCCGGTTTCGAGACTCCCCGGTCCCCAAAATGGCCCCCGGAGGCCGAAAATGACGAAAGACTAAGCATGTAGAATCCCCTCCTTCTCCTCCTCCTCCTCCTCCTCCTCCTCCAGCTCCTGGGTTCGAGGGTTCCAGGACTTCGGGCCAGAGGCACGCGAATTCAATGCCTCCAGGCACCCACGGCCGCGCGGCCGTTGCGAGATGATGGGGCGCCGCCGACCATGTCAAGATTACGGGTGCTCGAATGGAACCCCATGTGGGGCACTGGCTGCCGACTCCAGGAGATCGCCGCTTGCACGAAGAATATGGACTTCACTTTGCTGGCGGGAACCCAGAACGTGTGCAGGGAGTCGGAACAAGTGCTTCAACGAAAGGTGGAGGGAAGAGTGGTTCTCGAAGCAGCAGTATCATCAGGTTTGTACACTAATCGTAGTGCGGGCGTGTCCATTTTACTAGGCCGAGAGTTTCGAAGCCATCATGTACGTCGTGTGTTCTCCAGCCCGCCTCAGCTCTGGGGCCGTTGTCTCGCCGCTCGCATTCGACACAACATAGTGGACGTGTGTGTTGGGTTCCTCTACTATCCTCCTCAACCTCGAGGGAAAGGGGCGGGCCCGAAGTACACGCAGACGGTTGCCAGGATGACCCAGTGGTGGCGAGAATGTCTCGACCAACTCCCAGCACGTTGCTTGCCTATGTTCTTTGCTGATTTGAACGATGGGCTCGGCTGTCGTCGTATCGAGGGGAAGTGGGAGGAGTATGACAGCAGTGCGGTGGGTCAGACACGTACGAGGGAGAGGCGGAGGCAGGGAGCAGGAGAGTCGGTGGCACATCTGCTGGAGCAGCACCATATGCTTGCGGCGAATACCCTGGGCCCTCTTGATCCAACTTTTTACGGTGACGGACCCGATGGGCCCTCGAAATTGATTGACTTCTTGTTTATCCCGCAGGGGTGGGGCACTCGCCTGGCTCGATGCCATACTTTACGAAGGATTGGCGCGCAGTTACAAGCCCAGAGTGGACGCCCCCCCCGAGATCATGTCCCCCTCTACTTGGAGCTACAGCATCCCAAAGGACCCCAATAATGTGTCCTTGTCCAGCGGGCTCGCTGGAATACTTCTTCTCTTATGCTTGCCGTCCGCTCTGGATCTCAGCGCATCGCCTTTGTGGAAGGAGTGGAGCAGTGGATACGGGAACGGGAAGAGGATAGGATACGGGTTCATGATCAGGATGCTCCAGATCACTGTTTTGAGTTTCTAGAACAGGGATTGGTGGAGGTGGGGTCGGAACTATTTTGTGAAGATACGGACATGCCGCACGATTACTCCCATTGGGCCGCATTGCGCCGTGAGCTACAGAAGAAGCGCATTGAGTTGCGCGCTTCTCGTATGCAAGCCACGGATTTGCCAGCTGTAGAAGAGGAGCTCCGCGAGGTTTCGCAGAGGATGCGTCTACTTTGACCACGTCACATGAGGGCGGAGAGGGCTTCCTTTGTTCAGGCTTCCAGCGAGGCATGGGCTAGAAGAAATATATCGGAGGCGATGGGGTGGGCGAGGAGAGCGGCTCGTTGTAGGTTTTCTCCCAAAAAACGTGATGGTAGACGCTTTGGAGCCACCCCGATCTCTCGACAGGAGTGGTTGGATGTCTGGCAGTTACCTGGAGGGGAGGGGGGCATGAAAGTCATCCCTACCGATTTGGAGCAGTGGCGAAACCAGAGGGACGACCTTGACCTAGCCCAGATTTACGATATTGCCCGTTACGATCCTCGTTTCAGGGAACTGGCTTTGGAGGACATCAAACGCTTCCGAAAGTATGTGCGCGAAGCTTCCAAGAGACGGGTCGTCCCAAATGGCACCGCCCCGCTGGAGCTCTGGTGGCAGATGTTGCACCCCGATGTGGGCCTGGAGGGTCTACGCGCTGGCCTTGGCGCTCAGCGTGCACCGGTGGAGCCGACTTTCTTTTTTGAGGTGCTACTCGACGCTTTCATGAAAGTGCGAATCACAGACATGGCCCCTCTTTACTGGAGCACTAGTCGGGGATGCGCTCTACACAAGTCGGCCCAACCTGGGCCTCGTGGCAAACGCGTGGTCCACGTCCTCCCCGTCGTGGGCAATGCCTTCTTCGCCGATCTCCTCCCCAATGAGCTCCCCCCCGAGGACTATGGGTTCCATTGGCGTCGTCGTAGGGAAGGGGCTGTCTTGGCATCTCAAGTGGTTGGGTGGAGATTACGACAGGCGGGATGGAGCTTTGGGGCTAGCCTCAAGGATATGAGTAACGCGTTTGGTAGCACCTCCTGGACGGCCATGGATACGCGTATGGCCTTACATGTTTCTGATGAGAATTTACTGCTCTGTAAGAAACGCTATCGTGATGCTGTGGTTTTACTACCTAGTGATGAGGGGGATGTGGCGGTCAAGGCCAGGGTGGGGGGAGTGATGGGTGATCCGTTCATGGTGGCAGCGTTCTCGACTACGTTTCAGCGTCCAGCGCAGCAATGGGCGAAGTCGCTCTGTGCCGCTGACCCATCTTTGCACCTTTTACGCGCTGATTGGCAAGGTCAGGAAGTTGATCTCAGCCTCTTTAAGTATGCGGACGACCTTTATCGCTGCACCCTGATCGCTCAGGGCGACCTCATGGGCTCCTTCCTTGCCAAGTTGCGCGAGGCAGACGATTTGCTAGACTCTCACCTCCAGGAATGTGGGTACCAACAGAATCGGGGGAAACAAGAGCTGGCGGTCTGGCTTGAGGGGGAGGGGGCCACGGCTTGCCGTCGCTGGCTTCGTGGGCCTGGACGGGCTCTCATCTCTGGGGCTCTGAAGGAGGAGGTGCGGTACCTGGGGCCCTACGTTTCTATGCCTCAGGCTTCGAGTCGGGAGATGATCAGACGACATCAGGCTGCACGTTCGGCCTTCTACTCCCTGGGCGGTTTCTGGACGTTGTCCCTCCCCTGGAAATTTACTCGGGCGATCTTCTTATCCCTCGTGCAAAATTCGGCTCTATGTGGAATGAAGGCGTCCTTGCCGACGAAGCAGCAGAGCGCCCGCCTGGATGCCACTATCGCTCATTTTGCCCGTGCGTGCATGCGAGGCCGTGCACGATGGACTACTTCAACTGGCGCAGTCAGGACGATGTCCAACCAGGCCGTGCTAAAACACTTGCGTATGTGTGAGACCTCGGTGGAGCTGGGCATTCGTCGACTTAACTGGTATAAGTCTTGGGCTGCCCACCCCGCCAGTCACATCCAGCTGTTCGCGGCCCTTTTCGGGGAAGTGCGTTTCGAGTTGGGGGAGGCGCCCCTCGTCGACGGATACCTGACCCCCAAGGCCTCCCCCTGGGCCCGCAGGGTCTCTGAGGACTTCTACTGGGCACAGGGGCTCATACGTGAGTCGGAGGATGTGCTGGGAGCTCTTGCAGATCGTCCTGGCCACATGTGGGGCCCCGACGTGCGCCGCGAGTTTTTGAACATCGATTCCACTGTGATACGGAGTTGTTTCTTTGGGGTGATTATCGCCCCCCTGGTCTGAAAGTGGAGGTGGAAAATGGGGGTGGTCGTGATCATGAGACACAAGAATTTCCCGAACTCGAAACACATTATCGTTGCCAGTTCGAGGGGTGTGAAGAGGAGTTCACCACGCGTAAGGGCCTGATGGCGCACATGAGGTCCCGCCACTCGCTGCGCTCCCTGTGCCACGTGCTCACCCCCAGTAACACATGTATCTGCTGCAGGGAGATTTTCTGGGACAGGGCATGTGCTGCTCGGCATCTTGTGCTTGCTGTGCGACGGGGGCACTGCCGATTCGGTGGGGGTAGAACGTTTCGCCCTCTTGAGCCTCCATCGTCCTTGTCGTGTCCTCGGTGTGATGTAGAAGCTTCAGACTTAGACGCACTATGCCAACATCTACGCAGCCACTTGCCTGGCCCCGTTCTCCCGCGGACCCGCCAGATTCGGGAGCACTCGGGGGCTC